ACTGCCCCTGAAAGTTTATGCTGCTTACATTTAATGAGCTTTTTTTAAAACGGTGTATCCTAGAGACATGGGACCAACTGCATCGGCATGTTTGACTTTGACCTTGAAATATAGGTCAAGGTCAAAGTCATTTAAAAACATAAGAAATTCCTTATATATTTGTAAAATATAGCAATTCACCAAATGACCTTGAACTTTGACCTTGACCTTTGGCCTTGACATTGGGTCAAATGAAAAGTAAGGACATGCATCCAGCTCCAGTATCGGGTAAAAACATAGAAAGTAAAGATTTCCTTGTTTTGTTTTGTTTTGTTTTGTTTTGTTTTGTTTTTTTTGTTTTTTTTGTTTTTTTTTTTTTTTTGAAATGACCTTGACCTTTGATCTTGACCCAAAGGTCACAATCAGGCTTAAAGATGTGAAAGTAGTTACAATTCTTAGTTTATGAGAGGCATAAGATAAATAATTCATCCCCCCCCTTCTTAAAAAAAAATCACATCAACAACAACGTAGAATATTTCTGTAAAATTCAAACCAGACCTCGGATCGACAACATATTTGGTACATATGTAGCATAGACCTCAGAGAAACTTTCTTGAGAGTTTTACGGTGAGTCTTATAAGTTTATAGAAGTCATGAAGTTTCACGGCAAGAACTACATGTTCTGTTGTGTTTGAAATTAAAGTGCAGGTGGACGAAGAAATGATCTAAACCTTTTATCGGCTATTTCTTCAGATGTCGTTAGTAGCATTCGATTTTCCTGATATGATACGACATTTTAATACCAAGCATTCTCTCTTTCTTTTACATTTGGAATTTATTTGATTTTTATTTAGAATTAATCAGTTTCCAGAAATAGCGATTTTCGGTATATTAAAAACAATTCTCGCTTTCATTGTCGTGTTTCCCTTCTAAAAATGCATGTTGGGAGTTTAATTTGTGCTACACATATTTAATTTAACCCAAAGAAATGCTTATTTAAATGTTTCATATTTATTTCAGGATATTCAGTCAGAAATGTTAAAATCCGAACCCGATCTTTTCAGCTTACAACAAAGCTATTTTCAAAAAATTCAGCATGCTCACAATATCGATGAATCGGGCTACAGTCCATTAATACATTTTCATTAGGGAACAAGGGAACAGTGTTAACTTTTTCTCACGCACACCCGTCCCTTGTTATTTTATATACTGCTTGCAAGTTCAGGAACTATTTCCTTTTACGGAACTTCTTTCTTCCCCTACCGATTCTAAAAATACTCTTGTATTTATTCCATAGTCTTAAACAATTAACTTACTCAATTTTATCTGAATGTGTAGCGCAGTGGTTAGAACACCTGCCTTTCAAACCAAGGGTTTTGAGTTCGATCCCAGGTGGAGGAGGATTTCTTTTTTCTTTTTTTTTTTTTTTTTTTTTTTTTTTTTTTTTTTTTTTTTTTTTTGCTTTTTTGGCATTTTTCTTTTTTTCGGCCTAAACGACACGAAAACACTTAAAAAGGTGGAAAGGCCTCTAATTGTTCTCTGAACAATTAGTTTACTTGTTATTATTAAGGTCTTTCGATATATATGATAAGATATGAATATGAAACTTGCTGAGGTGATAGAACATCAAATGTAGATATGTTGATCGACCATTATTTTCCGTCGTTCGTACTTCCGGTCGCAAACGGAAGTGAATTCAAAAATGTTAAATTTGTAACTTTTTTGTTTTTCAATATTTTTCTCTGGGATTTACAGGGTTAATAGAGAGTCTTCTAAGAGTTCCAAGTCTGTTTTTATCATTTTGATTGATGCATTTGTTGCAAAGATATGTAATACAAAGATAGATTACATGATCAGTACGTACTGGTCCCTGCTGACAAAGCAGGTAACAACATTGTCTTTGTTTGTAAGACTCATTATATTAAATGTATTTTAGAGGAACTTGGATTTAATTCTACAAGTAGTAATCCAACTTATACTCATAGTTCCCTTTCTAAGGAAGAACTTCTTCAAAATCATATGTCAGTTTTGAATATTTTTAATATTCCAAACAACCAAAATGAATTCGAATTACCATATTTATATTGGATTCCGAAACTTCATAAAAATCCTTACAAACAAAGATACATAGCGGGTTCCAGTATATGTTCAACCAAGCCTCTATCTTTACTACTCACTAAGATATTAACAATGGTGAAAGAGAAACTTCAAGAGTACTGTGCAACAATATATTCGAGAAGTGGTGTAAATCAGATGTGGATACTTAAAAATTCCAAGGAACTTTTGGAAAATTTGAAATCACAAGATTTTACCAAAATCAACAGCTTTAAAACTTACGACTTTTCAACTTTATACACAACCATTCCCCACGATAAATTAAAGTCCAGGCTTTTTGATATCATTGACAGCTGCTTTTTCAATAAAAATGGAACTCGTAAATATACTTACCTTGTCATTGGTCATTTGCAAAATTATTTTGTTAAAAAACATTCTGATTGTACACACAAGTACTCTGAAGTTGACATTAAAAAGATGCTTGAGTTTCTGATTGACAATATCTATGTGGTTTTTGGAGACCAGGTCTTCCAACAATCTATTGGAATGCCCATGGGTACCAATTGCGCCCCGTTATTAGCAGACCTTTTTTTGTATTCATATGAAGCAGAATTTGTCCAAAATCTTGTACGAGAAAAGAAGAAAACACTTGCTGTGGTCTTCAACTCGACATTTAGATATATCGACGACGTATTGTCAATTAACAATGGCTATTTCCATTCTTATGTCGATACGATATATCCTGGTGAACTTGAGATAAAAGATACCACAGAGTCTGAAACATCTGTTTCATATTTGGATATTTTACTTGAAAAAGATGTTAATGGTAATCTAACAACCAAGCTTTATGATAAACGTGATGACTTTAACTTTTCAATCGTCAACTTCCCTTACTTATGCAGCAATATACCTTCATCACCTGCATACGGGGTATATATCTCTCAGTTGATTCGATACGCAAGAGCATGCTCTACGTATGTACAATTTCTAAAACGAGGTAAATTATTGACAAATAAGTTGATGAAACAAGAATATCAGCTGTCTCGTTTAAAGTCATCATTTCGTAAGTTCTATGGTCGATACAATGACCTTGTCAGCAAATACAATTTATCATTGAGTCAAATGCTGACTGACGTTTTTCATACTAATTGTGAGGCCATTATTTACACACTGAATTGTCGACGGATTTTCCCGTGATTTCCCGATCATGACAAGGAGCACACGGCGGAAGTGACCGGTCGGCAGGGGATGCTCACTCCTCCATGGCACCTGATCCCACCTCTGATGTTTGGAGGTCCGTGTTTGCTCTGCTCCTATTTTGTATTGTTTAATGGACTTTTGAGCTTGAATACTGTTCGTTATCTCCATATCTTTCATATGACCGCATTTATTGCAAAGATATGACCGATCCAAACTTTCTCGTATTGTTGCGGTTCGAATCCTGCTGGGGCGGGAGATTGTTTCTCTCTTTTTTCAGTTGTAAATGATATTTTTCTCTGTGAAGACATGTGTGATAGTTTTTGCTTATTTTTTAAAGCTTTTTTTAACAGAGATTCTACAGAAATCCTTTAATAATCATGATCTATGTTGAAAGACTGTGTTACATAAACGCAAACAAAAAATACCTTCAATAAAGTATTAAATGAAGTGAGGTAGCACAGCGATCTGGAGAAAAGTTCGGTCGGAAGATCATTTGTTTCCCTAGCAACAAGAAACGCATCTAGTTATTATTATTATTATTAACATCAGTGTATAGGACTACATGTACTAGGCCGGACAACATGACCACTCTTGCTCACATGACCACTCTTGCTCGTTTTGATAATCATCCCATCCTTTTGTGAGAAGCATTTTGTCATGGATGAAGTACATTTCAGCTGTGATGTTTATTTATTATTGTTATCGTCAACACTCTTTTGATTTTGATGCGATTTTTTCATAAAACAGATTCTAATATATAAACCATACCCGAACTGAAATCAGAGAAAATGGAACCAAACCGAACCGCACAATTTGGATGGCAATTTTTGGTTATTTCAGGAAACTGTGACAGCAATATTCTAACCTTGACCTTCCCTATGACTCTGACTCCACTATTTCTCATTTTGTATTTATTTTAGTTTCGCAAAACTGGTTAAGGATAATTTTATCAAACTTTATACAAAGATCATGATGATACAAATTGATGAGAGCTATTCAACTGTGTCAAAATTATCTGACCTTGACCTTCCCTATGACTTTGACCTCACTATTGGTTTTTTTTTGCATTTAGAACAGTTTAGAAAAACAATTATGTGATTAATTAAATATTCTGTGGTTCATGTCAAAATAAAATGGCTTACGCAAAATAAATTGTGTATCACTACTTCAGCAGATTTTTTTCCACAAGAATGGAAGACAAAGACAAGTAATTCATTAGATGAATTTTTTTATTTCATTAAATTAGAGCAATTTCAAAGAAGACAGAGATATATTTTATGCAACTGTGCCAGGACAAATTCATAATGGGGCAAAAATAATTTGCAAGTGACATACTTAGTGTATTAGGGCAAAAAAAGAAAATGTAGTAAAAAAATAACACTGTTTATAGTATTAATCTGAAAAAAGGAAGCCATTCATTTGTTATCTATGCATAAAAGTCTGATTCTAAACACCATATCTCTGCATGAATTATGAAGATAACGAACAGTATTCAATCTCAAAAGTCCAATGAAATGATACAAATTTGCAGCAGAGCAAACACAGACCTCAAAATTTAGAGGTGGGATCAGGTGCTATGCATAAAATTGTTGATATATGTATCACTTTTACTCACTTGTATTTTTCATCTCGGGAATGATTTATATCCCTATATATATCATTTTCTAAGTTTGAAAAATTAACTGCAGTATGTATCAGTTGCAGACACATTGGTTAGAATGAGCTGTTATTTTCATATTTATGTTTTTTGCAGTGACCTGTTGATTTGTCCAGTATGACCTAATTATAGACCTGACCATGAGGTGTAGACTGCGGTACCGCTCGGGCTGGACTGCCTTCCTGTTTCTTTTTACCATCGCTGGCGTGATTTTAACCTATAATCAGATGAATGATGATAAGAAATCTAGTATCAAAGATAGCGTGGACAGACAAGGACCTAATGTTGTCGAGATGCGGCAAAAAGTCAAACAGCCTGTACACCCAAAACAGCAGAACTTATTCAATGAAGTGCCTTTGATGGAGGAGGATAAGACTGTCCGATTAAGGCGACTCCTCTCTGATTTATATCCAGACAACTGGGGCACGGCTCAAGACGCTGATGAAATGGCCTACAACATTAAGATCCAGTTGTCTGATTTAGGTTACGAGAGTGGACTGACATGTAAAGACGTGGATAACCTCAGAATCTCACAAGCGATCAAAGTGGGTGCGAAAAAGTATGTCGATCGTGCAATACTCCATCCACACAATACTGAGGTTGTGATAAAGAGTCAGGGGAATGACCAGGAGACTAAGATCAAATGTATGAAGAAAGTTTATGATGCAGATAAATGTCATAATATGGGGAACTATCACCTTATGAGGGAGATAATCCTGCTATCCGTCCTTAAACATCCAGGCATCGTAAATTTCCTTGGTTTCTGTATCCGTGGAGATAGTATAAACTATGATATCAAGAAGAAAGGTTTATTGCTGGTACTGGAGGCGGGGACCCCCATCACCCCCGGCATTTTGTCCTACACCCAGTGGGAAACGCGCTTAAAGGTGAGATGTTTGTCTTGTTTTTCTTTTTTTAAGAGAAGCAAATTAGTCTAAAGATCTAGATATTTTCATAAATGTTTACATAAATGTGTTCAAAGAATATGATGTCTGGAATTCTAGTACATTGTAAAAACAATTGATTGGAGATAAAAGGGACGAATATAAAATATCAGAAGCTATAAAGTATTTTTTTTATACAGTATGCCATTGAGTTGGGTGAACTATTGAAGTATTTAGAAGAAAGCCCACTGGGGAGTGTAGAGCTACTGGGGATAAAGATGGACGATTTTGTGACGGCAAAAGGGAACCATCTTAAACTGGTGGACCTAGACGATGTCAGCTTAGAGGAGAAGACCTGTCAGTCTGAAGCAGATTGCAAAATCCCAACAGCATCACTAGCAAGTACGAAATTCTCATCCTAAACTTTTATATGATAGATACTAGTCTATTAAGTCTTAGAGGTTGTATGTTTAATTTGAATATTTGTTGAGGTGAGCTCTGTAATCTCTGATTACCTATGTTTTGTATTTTCTTTAGATTTTTTTTCATTATTGATATGTTTCTGGTTTCCGTATTTGTAGACATGGCCTGTGAGAATGGGAGGTGTAAGGATTGGAATGCCAAAAACAATCTACAGAGGGTGGGGGCCTCGCTGTTCCATCAGCTGTTAAGTAATCCTCCCCCACAGATATCTCGTGGAATTAATGAACTAAAACAGAATATTCTCCTACTAAATATAACAGCCAATCAGATCATCAGGAAACTGAAAGGCATGCAATCAGAAACAGGTCAGCTGTCAGTGTGTTTAATATATTTCTTACAATGAATAATTTTCTCAATGTCAAACATAACCTAATAATTTCCATAAGTAATTTAAAATACTGAATACATCGTTAATTTTGTTTGTGTTATTTTTGCCCTTTCCTACTTACAAAGAATTCAGATTCTGTTTGTGATGTATATTGTATGAGTATAATAATAGATATTGCATCTTGGGATGCAGACTACTACTGGTGCTTTGAGTGATGTATGTGAACTTAAACATCAAGTAAAGTTATATTGAAACACATCCATTATCATCTTAATGTGAGTGCTATGTTAAGTGTAACAATTTGAGAAATAATAGTGTATTTTCAGATTCTGGTGTTCAAGGCCCACAAAACAACTTCCAAGATAATTTTGGTTAGTTCTGGAAAGGTTTTTTTGTATAATGTTCTCTCTGATAGTCCTAATTATGCTTTACTCTTTTATTATCATTTTGGAAAAAATTCCCATTTTTTGAAAGGAAATTCCACAGAAAATTAATCTTTGATGGATCTCAAAAAATAAATTTTGTTTTAACAACAACAACAAAAACTTTGTATGCACAATTAAAAAAAATCATTCCATCAAAATCCATGATTTGATTAATTTTTAAGGTCATCCAGGAGTAGGTCAAGATTCCAGACAGGGTCAAGGTCATGCTAAAGTTGAGATGGTACAACAAAGAATTGTGTCAAGAAATGAAGATCAACATCGCCAGGAGGAAATCAACTCATATCGTGTGCTACCAGAGAAGAAGTACACGAGTGTAAGTCTACAAAGAAATGTGTAAAAAGGGGTAAAACTGGGAATAGAATCTCATGCTAAACAGATGTGTGAAGGGGTAAAACTGGGAATAGAATCTCATGCTAAACAGATGTGTGAAGGGGTAAAACTGGGAATAGAAACTCATGCTAAACAGATGTGTGAAAGGGTAAAACTGGGAATAGAAACTCAAGCTAAACAGATGTGTGAAAGGGGTAAAACTGAGAATAGAAACACATGCTAAACAGATGTGTGAAAGGGGTAAAACTGGGAATAGAATCTCATGCTAAACAGATGTGTGAAAGGGGTAAAACTGGGAGTAGAATCTCATGCTAAACAGATGTGTGGAAGGGGTAAAACTGGGAATAGAAACTCATGCTAAACAAATGTGTGAAGGGGTAAAACTGGGAATAGAAACTCATGCTAAACAGATGACTGTAAAGTTAATAGCTTCAGAAACTGCTTCTCAGGTGACCATCAATGGCCCTTAGGTCTCTAATTCACATGAAAGCAAATTTTGTTCTGTTGAATTTTAACTGATGCATTAGAGGAATTGTTTGTTAAAAGTAAGAGGACTAGAAAAGTACTTTAAATATTTTCCAAGGGCAAGAAAATGTGGTAGCAATTAAGCCACATCATTGTATCTGTGTATTTGTGTGTTACTGTATGTAATTGAGGATCAGTGTGTCTGTGTATTTAATTGGTACTGTAATTTTTGTTATTTGATACTGTGTTTTACAGAGTGGAGATTACAGGCGAATCGAGCAGTCTAATTTCCCGGGACAGTACGATTACACATGTCAATCATCACGAGTCATGTGGGGGTGTGTCCTCACCGTTCATAGTCTGACCGAGGCCAAGAATTACTGCAACAATGACCCCCAATGCAAGGCTTTTGTTCTATTTACATCCAATCCAGATGGAGATTGTAAGTCTTATGTGAAGAGAGATCAATCTAAAATTCTGCTTCAAGTAATTTTAATATAGTAATCATAGATTTCAGTAATTGTATAATTGTACATTTCAATAATTTATATTATTGTACATTTCAGTATTTTTTTAAACTGTACATTTCAGTAACCTTATATAATTGTACATAAACAGACCTGCCTACTCTCCTGATTTGTTTGACATTTTTACAATATTTGATTCCCTAAATACAATTTAAATGATGAATCTCCTGATTTTTGGATTTTCTTCAATTTCTGTTTTAAAAATTTATTTATAAAAATGCTTTTAATATTGATCCTATACAACATACAGTTCTGAGGCATTTAAATTACAATGACTAGATACCAAACTACTAGTATGCACACACAAACATCAAGGTTTGACAGACAAAAGTAATGAAGGAAATATTATAGACTTTTGTTTGTCCATAGTGTCCTCATTTCAGAATTAAATTTTATCGCATGCATGTGAAAACAATGAATAAATTGGTTTTATGTGAAATCCCTGAAATTTTTGCATTCAACATACAAAATCTGCTGCATAAAGTCAAATCTTACAGAGAGATTGATAGAAAACTATGAAAAACATCTGTTTTTAAGTAAGCTTCTGATGTTAGTAAACGGTGCATTTCCGAGACAAAATTTTTGTTGCATATAATATTTAAAAGTTGCTCATGTTTGTATTTAAGGAAAAAAAAAGATTGTCTTAACTGAAATATTGCGAGCTGGAAAAAAACTCTGTTTGAACTTCAGCTTTGATGACGATGGTAGCCAAGAATTCTGGGACAGGTAAACCTCAACCCAATGTTGGAGCCACACTTTTTATCAGGACGGGCTCAGGGAGTGCTGGGCAGAATCTTCCACAGAACTTTGTACCCAAGAAGACAACTCCATCATCTGAAACCTCTGTGGCTGAATGTCGCGTGAGAACGTGGAACACAAACTCCGAAGCCAGGATCACGAGAGAGAGGCGATTAATGACTCATTTAGGACTCAAAGGTAAAACAGCAGCTTCTGTATTATGTATTTAATATACTTTATTGTTAGGATTCCTATTGTGAGTTTCTGAAGCTTCTTAATAATGCATTTTGACATTACAAGCAATTATCAACTGATATTGCTCATGAATTTAATTTATGGCTTTTTTTAGACATTTGTAGTTTACAGTTGACAAAATTATTGCATTTTAGCATCTTTTGAGTAGGTATATCAGAAGACAACTGGAAACTGAAAGTAAAGATGTCTCGCATCGTTAAGCATGCAGGGCTAGACAAGTTTTCTCTGTCTTCAACTGTCGGAGGACGGTTTGAGGTTGAACTCGCAAATCTGGAGAATACAATGAGGAAGGCAGTTTTTCTGTATGAGAAGGGACCCTCACAATACCACATTGCTCATCTTTTACAGTACCACCTAGACAGAATCCTGGGGGTAGGCACCAAAATACATGTATTTTTTTTTTTTTAACCTTGAGGATACTTCTCAGGTTCATATTTGATATGCCACCTTATGAGATTAGTGTGATGTATTGATATCTTTTTTAAACTTCAAAATGAGAAGAAATTTACCAGAATAAACTTTTCCTCCTCCTATCCCCATTTCCAAAAAAACAAATGTGCCTGCAGCTAGAGCAGGGTACAAATGTATTTACAAAGTTTATAGTGTTTGTATTTGTACAGTTTTCTAGATATACCAGACTCCTCCTACAGTCGTGTGGTTCCTGACAACATTTGATTCTGTTTTGTAGATATACCAGACTCCCCCTACAGTTGTGTGGTTCCCTGGCAACATTTGATTCTGTTTTGTAGATATATCAGACCCCCCCCCCCCCCTACAGTTGTGTGGTTTCTGACAACATTTGATTCTGTTTTGTAGATATACCAGACTCCCCCTACAGTCGTGTGGTTCCTGACAACATTTGATTCTGTTTTGTAGATATACCAGACTCCCCTTACAGTTTTGTGGTTCCCTGACAACATCTGATTCTGTTTTGTAGATATATCAGACTCCCCCTACAGTCGTGTGGTCCCTGACAGTGGGGGATGTTGCTGATGTTGAAGGAGACAAGGTTTGGACTGAGACTCTAGGACCACTGCTGGGAAACAAGGATGACATTAAAGGTAAGGACATTTTATTCCATTATGTCTACTACAAGGCTAAAGCTGGAATGGGTTTATCAATTATTTTTACTTTGTATTTCCCATGATAGGTTTCTACTCTGACCATCATAAAAAGTTCACAATATCTGTGTTCAGTATTTCTGGTAACATATATTTTGCTATGTGTGAGATTTGTTAACAATGTTATATCTGTATTGATAAGTATGCTGGCTATCAATCTTTTTTGATGTATTGATTTATATTGTTGTTTTGTTATTGATTTAAAAAAACACAGCCTTTTTTCAGATTTTCATGAAGATGAGATGTGAATCTCTGGAATCCATTGAAGATTGAGCTCACTACAAGCTTTAACATTTATGCACTTTCTGAAGGAAATATCAGAAAACTTTATTTGTTTCAGAGCCAGTAACCAAAGTAACGTAATTATTTATTTTCCTTGTCAACAGGTTTACTCTCTATTCCTGTCCCACCTGACTTAAAACCAGAAAACCTCACCTTGGTTAACAAAACAAATGTTGTCAACTCAGTGACAATGTTTAACAAATCCGAAAAATTACAGCTAGAGCAGCTGTTTCTGAGGACATTGAGCAAATCTGATCCAAGCAGGTTAATCAGTCACAAAGGTGAGACTAATGTCCGATACAAAGACATGGTCAAACAAGGGTTAGGCTAAAGTCTCAAACAACACCTAATGGTCAGCAAGGGTTAGGCTAATGTCCCATAGACTCATGGTCAACAAGGGTTTGGCTAATGTTCCAAACAACAGTGTATGGTTAACAAGGGTTAGGCTAATGTCCCTAACAACAGTTAATGGTTAACAAGGGTTAGGCTAATGTCTCAAACAGAAGGTAATAGTCAACAAGGGTTAGACTAATGTCTCAAACAATAGCTAATGGTTAACATGGGTTAATTTAATGTCCCAAACAACAGGTAATAGTCAACAAGGGTTAGGCTAATGTCCCAAATAACTGCTAATGGTCAACAAGGGTTAGGCTATTGTCCTGTCCATGTGAAACCTTTGTTCTGCATGGGGATGACTGAAGTCAAAGAACCACTTATTCTGATTTTAACATGCATGTCAATCAAATATTCTATACTGACATATTCATATCTGTATTCAGTTGATGTTTAGATCATATTTGTTTTACTGATGACCATAATTGCTGAAATCAATGCCTTTAGAAATTAATAGACTGGAAATATAATTACCATGAGTTGCAGTAGACCAATTTGTGGACTCTAGGGAAATGTTAATTTTACTTACAATTATTGTACTATAATCCCATTGATTTTGATCGGTGTGGAAGTTTTGAATCAGAGGAAGGGGGGGGGGGGGGGGGCTATGCTGACCAGATGATGATGATTGTAATGATTGGGATTAAAGTACAGAGGAATTTCACATAGGTAAAGTTCTTTTAATTTGGATTATGATGTAAAAATCAAGATTTCGGAAACGGGTCTATAAAAAATTTTGGAACTTAAAATGTAGCTCCTGGGAGTAGATGACTCAGTATGGTGTAGCATGTAGAAAACTGAATTTACTTCACATATACCTGTATATATGCATGGCTTATTTCTGTATAGCTTGAAATTTCACAGTGCTTTAATTTTTACAGAAGATTTAAATATCATGACAAACAATGTCTTCTTATATGAGTAATGTTTACAGTGCCTGGGAAGGTCAAGCAACAGGTGGGGCCAATGGCCCCACTGTTCATAAAATGATGGGGCCATTTTGAAATTTAAGGGGCGGAGGGGAAATATATTGGGGCCATTCTAAAATAAATCATAGTATGATGCTATTGGATAATGCATATATCTCTGACAACAAAATTTAGGAAAATTAAAAAGAAAAATGTGATAAGAATTGACAAGTCATATGACATTGACTAATGCAAATGATTTTTCCGTTTCTAAGAACTTCAGTCAATCGTCATCTAGATTCTAACCAACTAGTATTTAGAAAAATTATATTTAAACCAAAAGCACCATTTTTTTAAAGATGCCGATTTAGAGATCACGTGACAGGCTAAAATAAGTGGACTTCGTTGAAAAGGTTTTTCATTGTAAGGTAAATTTTCCATGTGAGTGACTTTCGTAAAGCTGTGGTCAACCATCGAAAACGATTTGACAGTTACGAATAGAACGACATTAAAAAAAAACTGTTTCTTTGGCAGTGGATGTCAATATGCCGAATGATGGTTCCAATTTTATTATATAATACATCACAGATTCCATCTAACTTCGATGAAGAATACAGATAGCGCGGACTGCGATGACCTTACAAAGTAATAAAACATGGATACCCGCATTTTGCGGGGCACGCCGCATGGCGCTGTATTATTTCATTGCTCTATTTTTCGACAGTATGCACATATGGCGCATGGCGCAGCCCCTTCCCAGGCCCTGTGTTTAACCACACGTATATAAGTGAAATATCAAGGCATAACACATATGATTTAGAAAGTAAAAGAAAAATCCAAGTATAAAACACTGTGACTTTTTAATTATTATTTGGGGCTGAACAATTCATTAATGGTTGTGTGATCTTTCAGAGCATGGGGAAGCTTTGGATTTTGGACTTCAAATTTCTGCTTTTCAAGTTGATTTTTGCTTTCAGAGTATGATGGAGCATTACAGAATACAGGGACATTAAATTGTCTAACAGCATGGGCAAATCAGTGCACAAAACAAGGGTGATATGTCTAACAATGGGCCTTATGCATGACTTTATTGACTAATGCATGACCTTCATTCCCTATGTATAGGTATACTGACAACCTCGGTCCCACGAGTCATACGCGAAGGTCAGTTACAGATACATCGACTAAGCAGCATGACTAGGGAAGTCGAAGCATTCAGTCGTCTCCAGAAAATGCAGTTAGAATATGTGTTCCTTTGGTTTGTTGCAAAAGTTGGTTTTGCAGAGGATGTCCATTATGGTTACAAAGGTCAGTATGGGGTCAACACTAAAGTACACATGTACCTCTATTGATACAAAGGTCAGTATGGGGTCAACACTACAGTAAACACACATTTCTATTGATACAAAGGTCAGTCTGGGGTCAACACCACAGTAAACACACACCTCTATTGATACAAAAGTCCGTCTGGGGTCAACACCACAGTAAACACACACCTCTATTGATACAAAAGTCAGTCTGGGGTCAACACCACAGAAAACACACACCTCTATTGATACAAAAGTCTGTCTGGGGTCAACACCACAGTAAACACACACATCTATTGATACAAAGGTCAGTTGGGGGTCAACACCAAGTAAACACACACTTCTATTGATACAAAGGTCAGTATGGGGTCAACACCACAGTAAACACACACCCCTATTGATAAAAGGTCAGTCAGACAGTCTGGGGTCACCACCACAGTAAACACACACCTCTATTGATACAAAAGTCAGTATGGGGTCAACACCACAGTAAACACACACCTCTATTGATACAAAGGTCACTATGGGGTCAACACCACAGTAACACATCAATATTGATACAGAAGTCATATTGAGCAATATCTCGGCAAACATGTACCTCTATCATGTCTGTTTAAACAAAGGTCATTATGGGGTTAACACCACAGTAAACACACACCTATTTGTTCAGATTTCAGTGTGGGATCACTACCACAGTCAACATTTACCTCTATTGATACACTAAAGACAAACTGATTGTTCATTCATTTTTGTATATGAATGGATGACATAGAACTCCCAACTTCCCATTGGGGATATGCTTTCAATGTACCCCATTTCATGCAACATGCCAAGGTGTCTGTAACTCTTGATAAATGTACAGGTGACGTGGGTATGAATGATCATAACCATGGAATGGTAATAGTAATTATGTAGCTGGTATGCATGCTGTTTTTAAGCATTTCTGAATTAATGGCTGAGATATAATGGCTGAGATACCTACAAAACCTAGAGCCTCCTTAGTGATGTGAGATACTAATATTCTGTTGAGTATGATATTTATTCTGAGTGAATCTTTGTTCTGGAAATATGCAATCAGATAGAACATTTAGATTTTTAAAAAATTACCCAATTGTATACACAGATTAAAAGTTCTGTATATTACAACAAGTGCTATGGACAGTTTGCTTAGGTATTTCCAGCTTTTATAAATTATTATTATTTCTTCTTTGTTCAATAATATCAGTCCCATACAGTATTTGATTTGTAAATCTGTAATTTTGTCTTTTGTAGGACATCTAATCCACAGTATGTGATTTGTAAATCTGTAATTTTGTCATTTGTAGGACATCTGATCCACTTTGGGGCTGATGGGGCATTCCAGGACCTGAATGTTAATCTGTTGGGTTATTTCAACAATTGTCAGTTTCCTAATGTTGTGTATAAAGCTCTCAGCTGCTTCAAGTGTTCTTCAAAGGGATCTCAGATCTGTTCCCTGGGGCAAGAGGTAATTAATCTCCAAACACCTCCCCATCTGCCTAGTGTTGCAGTATAGGAACTTCACCTTGAAACTTGTTGGCTCTTATGAGTACATTTACAGAATAAGAAGTGTATTTCTTAAGAATTCCTGGGGGAAAAAATGCTGAGCCCTGAACAAATTTCTAAGTCATGAGCCAGTAAACTACCTGAAATTTCATACATGGCCTAACTTACTATTTTCACATTTTCTTTACTTTCCTTATCTGAATCATAAATAATTAGTGTTTCACAAATAAATTTGAAGTTTCCCTCTCTCCATTATTATTGCCTTTAACATTTCCAGAGATAAGACAAATGATATGTTAATGATTCAACCTTTGAGTATTTTATGCTGTAGCCTCAGATTTAACTTTTGGCAGGTTTGCCCTCACCCTGGAAATTTAAAAACTGGGCTACTTTGCGAAATGATTATAACTTTTAAGAAGCAAAATGTTTTATTTCAAATTCAAAACTGGGCAAAGTCATTTTCATTCATTAGGGTGAATGTTACACAAGGGGAAAATTTCCCATGCAGTGCACAGTAATTAATCAGGGAGGAGTAGGGAAGTTTAGGTGTAACATTGTTGACACGTCATGCACGAGTGATCTTTTGTAGTGGTACAGGATCAGTAGAAAGATGGTTTATGTCACAGTCAGGTTTTTTTTTAAATAATTTTTTTTCCAGGCAATGCAAAGGATTTTGAGCCATGGCTACACCAATCGAGACATCAAAATCCAAAACTTGACACCAAATGAGTTGACAACCATCATTAATGACGCTGCTACATCAGTTCTGAGCATTGTGGACACTTGTATCAAGAATTTTGGTCGTGATCAAGTCCTGTACTAATTCATGTTTACTTAGTGCAGAAGAACCATGCAAATATGTGGAAACAAGATAAAAGTGACCCTTTGTGCATTATATGCATTACATTGATTGGGGGGAAAAAGTCACCTACTGAATATGCATAATGTTTTGTTAACTCACTTGTTTAAAGACAAGTTTTTTTCTCGGTAAAAATCCAAGAATCTAGTGCAGTGGATTGCACCTAATGTGGTATTTGTTATAATGATATATCTGTTAATCTGATAACCGGTCATAGTCATTAAAATTGCATTGTTCTATTTATGTTGTTTCTAGAAACTTTTTACATCTGGAGAATAATTTAATTTGAATTTTGTTTTGAGTAAATAATTGGTAAAAACTGATTATTATTTATCTGTAGTAGTGAAGTATTATATAATTAGTATCTTATGTAAGTATATTATATTATCAGTATATTATATCATCAGTATATTATATTATCAGATCATTATATTATAAGTATAACTGAAATTCTTAATGTACATTTATCTTGTATATCTATTAGCAATATGATTATGTAATGTGTGTATTTACAGACTAGAAGTTATAATACAATATAGAGATCAATCATGTAAGAATTCTGAAAAATATAGTCATATACATATACATGTCTGTATTGCACAGAAGTAGAGTTATAATCAGATGTTGAACAGTAGATAAAGTCATGTACTAAGTTATTGTCCTTTACAGCTCCAAACTCTCAAAAAGCTGTTGTATAGTGTATCTCTTGTGTATTGTTATTAGACAGTTCAACTTTTCTGTAGTGAACTCATTTATTACAAATTCCTTGCTTACTTTGAAGTTATACAAAGCAGAAGAAATCCTATTCAGTGTACCAAAGCATTTTTTTTAATCTGTTTCCAAAGTTTCATTTTTTCTTTGACTGTATAGGAATCTGGTTAAATTTTCATTCCAGTTTTGCTGACTGTTAATGACTGGCTGTAATAGAAGTCTCAATACTTAATCTGTTGTCAAACTTGTAGACAAATTTGAATGTATATATACTAGTATTTCAAAGTGTGGAAATAATACAGGGAGACTGTGTTTATTTACATTCTGTAACGTGTTTCTTTTTTTTTTTAGAATTAAGATTAGGTGTATGGCTGTATAGTTGTTAGTAGAGTATATGTAGGTATATATAGTTGTACAATGTGTCAGCTGTAGATGTATTAGATGTAAATTAATTTACAATGTATATCAAATATTGTGTGTATATTTCTTACTGTACATTTTATTTTTTATGGGTGGGTTGTAACTTGTATCTGTGATATAAACATTTATGTCGCAATGAAAGGTCAGTTTATTTTTATCATTTACACTGAAATTGAAATCCTGTGATATCATATCACTGTTACATTTCCACTTTATAACTTATTGCCCCTAACTTTGTACACATTCATTAAATTTTTTCTGATGACAAAAAGGTGGACACCACATTGCACACTTTCATGTTTATCATTGGATGAATGATTTTTGTTAATTTAAGGGATTGAATATATCACATGATCTGATATGTAGGCTACCATTGCTGTAAGAAAGGTTCCTATGGTAACACTTTTTAAATTTAACAATTCAATAACATGAAAGATATCACTTGATACGGAAGTGTGATATCATCCTCTATTTTGATTTTTTTTTTTTTTTGGAATGTGTTCAGTGTATTTTGTCTGTTCATATATTATGAACAATGCATATCACTGTATTATGTATTTGTCTTTTGTTGAGTAAAATTGCAACCTCCCTCCAACCCCCAAAAATACGAACTTAAAAAAACTGGCTATAGTTTCCTTATCCTTCCTTTGTGTATACTAGTTTTGATAGTACAACCTCACTGTTATGGCACCCAACAACAATGCAAGCCTGTGTTGTAACAGTAGTTTTCATTGTAGCATCCCTACAAAATGCAAACCTGTGGCTCCAATTTACTTTTTTTTTAACCTTAATTTTTTCTCATTTTTGTAATCATGTTAATATTTAAGGCTTTATTTTAGTTTGTAGGACATAAATATATTAAGCAGATAGAGAAAAAATTGTTTTGTTCTGTTTGAAAGTATTCTAAGAGGAATTTTTTCACACACCCCATTTTGTTATCTATAATTTACATATTCATAGATTTGTTTAAATCCATTAAGATTAAAGAATTGTATTATTGTTTGTATGCTCTTGCAAATTAAACCACATGTTAAAAGTACAATTTTTTAATTTCTATTTAGAAAGTTTTCATGGCTTTCAATTTTCATTCAGAACTATAATATTATTGAAATGTCCCCAAAAAGGCACCTGCAAATTAGCGATTCTTAGAAATGGACAGGAGAATAGATTTACACCAAAATTGTTTTGTCTTGGGACATAAAAACCATTCAACTGTGACAAGTCACAGATCTATAAGAACAAAAGCCATTGTTGCCCGCAGAATGACCTTGGTGTTATATTAATAACCTTGACATAAAAGGTACCAAGGTCACTTTCTAAGTCTGTCACCCATGAATCTCAAGTTATAATTGATTTCAAGTGGAATTTGTTGTGTGAAAGTTTTGCCATAAAAACAAAACATTATACCTTCTATCTATCTATCTATTCATAGATTCTAGTGTATATACCATCAATGTTAGAAAACTGTTCAGTATATGCTTGAAAGACATTGTATCCTGCATGATACTGAAATTGTTATATGTGTGGTTATATTTGTTTTTGTTTTTTTTTATGTTAATCATGTCCTGGTTGTTCTTTTTTTTGTTATAATTTAGAATTGAATTGTATCAATCCCTTCATTGCTGTATAAGTCTAAGAAGTATTTTTTAAATTTTTTTTTCTTGCAATATTTGGATACTGCCTTCAGTTTGCAATTTCTAAGATCCATGTTGAGTCAAACTTGATCAAAGTGCACCATTGAAAAGTTCAATGGAAAACAGAATTGTATACACTTCAAAATGAGTTTATAGTGCTGCTTTGTGGTTAAATACAGTGTTATTTGGTAAAAATAAAAACTGTGTAATACAGGGAAAAAAGCTAAGCTCATTGGAACCATTTTCCTTTTGTTGATTGGACACAGAGCTTGTTTATTAAACAATAAAGGTACTACATGAAAAGTATGAAAATTTGGTATGTAATGTTTGATTTTTTAATATTTTTACACTGAAGCATAGGAAGTTAAAGCAAATATGTGTTATCAATTTTTTTGTAATTTTGAATTTTCTGCAAGAGACTTTCATAAGTCAATCTTTACTAATGAAGGGTGATATATTGATGATGTTAGTAAACAGTTATAAAGAAAAAAAGAATGTATTTACAAACCAAATTTTTATGGACTTTTTCAGACAAAATATTTATCAATAAAAAGCAATGACCAAAGGCAATAGAAACAGGTTGTGTTTGAAGTAATGTTTCCAAAAATCAAATTTTTCCTCCCAACACAAACTTTTTTTAATTTCCCTTTTACAATAGAGCATGTATTTATCTAATCACATTGTTTGCTGAAGAATATTAGAACTGACATTAAACATTTAAAGGGGCTTGGACACAAATTTGAAGTTAAAATTTTCAACAATTTTCAGATTAATATATTGACTTATATGTTGCTAGAGCATTTCACACCGAATACTGTATTTAAAAAAAACATGTTTAGAAACGTCTTTTATCTGGAAATTATTAAAACTACAAATTTTGGGACAGTTTTATTAACTCATATCTTGCACTTTCACAAAGTAAACTTCATTCTTAATACTTAAAAAAAGTAGAAATTTGTTGTTATGGTGAAAAATATTAAAACTATAATCCAGAAAATTCAGAGTAGATATGCGAGAAATCAAAACCAACTCACCAGTATTGTAAGTTGGTGCTCATTGATATGTGCAGAATAAATTGAACACACCCGGAAAAGTGTAAATATTAACAATAGCAGAACCCGTGCCCTGTTTACAAACACAGATGTCTTGATCTTATGAAGAATGTGACTCATTGAATTCTTTGAATATTCATTTAAGTTCAATTCAGTTAACTTAAGTTATTTTTGTAATAAAAGAAGTAATTTATAATTGTAAACAAAACGGCATTGCAACTATGTCCAGGCCCCTTTAACCTGACATTCCCCTTGTTTTAAAAAGACATATATATACTCTTTAGACAAGAGGAAATTTTTTTTTCTAAGAAAACATTTTTAAGCATTCAGTGCCTGTGAAGATGTTATATTTTTGTATCTTGACTGCACAATTGTAATAGCTCATGGGCCTTTTAGCTCACCTGATCCTTATGACCCTTAGGCATCGTACCATCAGCTTTAACTCAAGTTTGGGTATTTTATCTTGTACATCTTTGCACAGTTGAATTGTTTTTGAATCATTTATCTACTTCACACTTATAGGCATGGACACATAATGTCTTGCACCTGTGTTCATTTTTTTTTATTTGACTTGGCCCTAAAGAACATCAACTTACTAGATTTATTTAGATAAGTGTTTATTATGTACTATTTATATATTTATGTTGTTAGTTAACTCTGAATTATGCACACTATATACTGTTGGTTATCCATCTTTACACTTTCCAGCTTGTTAATAAATAATAAAGATAACTATAGAACAAGGCTGTGTCTTTAGTTGCAATATTCTTATAAAGGATTGCAATTTAAAACTTTATACAAGAGTGAGTCAAAGAAGATGTTTCAAGTTAATTGTGAGAACACTGAAACATAATGAGTTTCACACAGAAAATAAGACTGATAGATATCTGGCCTGATTTACTTAAACTGTGTTTACATGAACTGATATCTGGTCTGATTTACTTATACTGTGTCTACATGAACTGATATCTGACCCTGATTTACTTATACTAGGTCTACGTGAACTGATATCTGGTCTGATTTACTTATACTGTGTCTACATGAACTGATATCTGGTCCTGGTTAACTTATACTGTGTCTACATGAAATTATATCTGGCCCTGATTTACTTATACTGTGTCTACATGAACTGATATCTGGCCCTGATTTACTTATACTGTGTCTACATGAAATTATATCTGGCCCTGATTTACTTATACTGTGTCTACATGAACTGATATCTGGCCCTGATTTACTTATACTGGGTCTACATGAACTGATATCTGGTCCTGGTTTACTTATACTGTGTCTACATGAACTGATATCTGGCCCGATTTACTTATACTGTGTCTACATGAACTGAAAACTGGCCCTGATTTACTTATACTGTGTCTACGTGAACTGATATCTGGTCCTGGTTTACTTATACTGTGTCTACATAAACTGATATCTGGTCCTGGTTTACTTATACTGTGTCTACATGAAATGATATCTGGTCCTGGTTTACTTATACTGTGCCTACATGAACTG